TACTTTTTAAATTCAAAAGTCCTTTATTTGCCAAAGAAGAAGAAAATACAAAGTGAAAATACAAAGATAAAACCATGCCAGCACAAAATGTCTCCAAACTACTTTGTAAAAGTATGAGAACCTTTATTATTAAATACTCAGTTTCTAAGACCATCACCCAGTGATACAAAGAAAAGATTAGAACAAAAGGGTCAGCACTGTTTACATGTTTTTCTTACAGTAGCTCATGCTCTTTATTGAGGTTCAGTTTTGATTGCATAGACCTAAGATGCTGTGATTTAGAAACACTGTACTCCAAAAATACATACCATTAAAATGACATTTCAGTGACCTCTCTTTTTGGCCTTTCAGGCATATTTTGTTTTGGAAAAACTAAGCACAGTACCTTGGTTAGAGTATCTCAAGTCAGCTTTCTTAAATCCCTCGTTCAGGGGAGCAGGAAGGTTTTCCGCAATGTTTTCTGTAAACCTGAGACTGGAATTTCTTTTTTGCTGTCCATGTCTGTTTTGCAACACTGCCGCTTGGTGGCAGACCGGCAGAAGGGGAGCTATGTCAGTGCCTGGGTTTTGCTGACGAAAACTAACGTAGCAATTACTACTGAAATTTTAGAAGAACGGGGGAAAAAAAATCAAGCTAGTACCATTCCAGCAGTAATTGCATGTGGCTGTATCGAACCGTATCTCCAATCTTAGTACTGCAGAGAGAGAGTATTTGTGAATATAAAAATAAAAAGCAAGGGTTTTGTAAGGACACAGAATTTTGCTAGACAAAAGCAGACTAGAGAGAACAAAACAACGCAATTCAATTTTTTTTAAATCATGCAAAACTGAATGTTACTCACTTTTCTGACTACTCGTAAGGACAAAGGAACCCAGCTCATAATAGACTTCAGTCTGAGCTGGATTTACAATGAAAAATGCACGCTCTGTCTTCAAAGGTATGCAACATCTAAAGTGGCATTGACAGCTGGAGATGGGAGGCAAAGTCAGAGCCAAGTGGACTCCTACAAGTTTACTGCGCTGTGGTTCCTGGGTTGCTTCATTCTAGCTGACGAAAACTAACGTAGCAATTACTACTGAAATTTTAGAAGAACGGGGGAAAAAAAATCAAGCTAGTACCATTCCAGCAGTAATTGCATGTGGCTGTATCGAACCGTATCTCCAATCTTAGTACTGCAGAGAGAGAGTATTTGTGAATATAAAAATAAAAAGCAAGGGTTTTGTAAGGACACAGGACTTAATTTTGCTAGACAAAAGCAGACTAGAGAGAACAAATAAACGCAATTTTTTTTTTTTTAAATCATGCAAAACTGAATGTTACTCACTTTTCTGACTACTCGTAAGGACAAAGGAACCCAGCTCATAATAGACTTCAGTCTGAGCTGGATTTACAATGAAAAATGCACGCTCTGTCTTCAAAGGTATGCAACATCTAAAGTGGCATTGACAGCTGGAGATGGGAGGCAAAGTCAGAGCCAAGTGGACTCCTACAAGTTTACTGCGCTGTGGTTCCTGGGTTGCTTCATTCTAGAGAGCTTGCTGACCTCTGAAGCTGGTGTGTGTTGCAGCTGAGCAGGTCCTGCTGTCTGTAGTCACAAACATCCTTGTCTTCCTACATTTTTACTGTCCCAGAAAGAAAAGCCAAGAAGTAGGACAGGAGTTCCCAAATTTACCTTGCTTATATGCTGCAAATTTAGAAACCTTCCATCCAGAGAAGCTGTGGACAGGGCTAAGTCACAACTGGGGTGTAGAATACCTTCTTTACTAATTCATCTGTGGCTGCTGAATTATGATTCTTTTCAAATGTATTAGTGAGAGAGAATGGATTTCTACTCCTGGAGTAAATAATACGAATTACTGCAAGTTTTGCACCGATATCCTACTGGCAGTGGCTTCTGTAGCTTGTCCTTATATTCACATATAAGGCAAAACATTTGCTCTAAGTTTGTTGTTTTTTTTTTCTTTGATTAGCTTGTTGTGTTGACCTACTAGAAAGCATGAATTGCGTTTGGAATCACTCTACTTTGTCACAGCAGCAGTGAACCTCTGTTTGTAAAAGAGAGGGCCTTGGGTTTGGGGGCCAGAGAGCTCAGCAGAGCAGCTACAAGCTTCTTTCTCAATTTAGGGAAGTCAAACCTTGAAAAGGTAACTGGTGATTTTTACCAGGCTCAGGGTACTGACTTCTTCAAAAAAAGGCACCAGTTCAGGCAGACTGGTGTGGTGTGAGATGGAAGTCTGAATTGATTTGCTGGGTTGAGTTAAAGCCTCTCTGCAAAAGGCGTATGAGGAGAAAGACAAAAGATCCTGAAGTGGTGGGTGAATAGAGAGAGCAGGAACAGCAGAAGTAGGCTCAAGGTATGACCTAGCAAGAACAGAAATGTCAAACCAAAAGAGCGACGCACCAAGGGTTGCCGGAGTACCAGCTCTTCACAGTCCATCATGGGCTGCGTCTGCATCCCAACATGCATCTGGTGCTTGAGAACAGGGTGTCACTTGCTCAACTGGCGAGTCCTTGAGTCCTTCATCTAACTCCCTCCTTGCGTGAAAAAGAAACTGTGCGTTCCCAGGAGTATACGTCCTTCCTGGAAAAGGGTGTTGCTCTGAACTCCCATAGGGAGGAGGAGGAGGAAATGTAGTATGTAGAGAGGTTGTAGAATCAACATCTATGGAGATCTTCCAAAACTCAGCTGGATGAGGTCCTGAGAAAGTTGCTCTAACTTTGAAGCTGGCCTGCCTTTGAGTGAGGGGGCGGAATAGAGACCTACAGAGGTCTCTTCCAACCTGAATTATTATATTATTCTGTACAGCGCTAGGAAAGCTTCTTTTCTTGGAGGTGCCAGGGCTATCCCAGGTTAAATCCTTAAAAAGACAATCGCTAAGTTATTCTGGAATGGGACTTTACATAATTGGCAAACTGGACATTCCAGTACTGCTGCTTATGGAGTTAAAAGCTAGCAATGCTGAAGTAACACAAAGGTTCCATTTCAGCCTAGAATGGGGTCAGGTTCTTGTTCCTTTGAGGAATCTTTGTCTTTGGAGAGATGTAAAATTTTATCAAACTAAAAGATCACTCTGGACCTAGATAGTGAAGAGGTGAACTGCTTTGTCTAGGTTCTTTCAGGTAAAAAGTGGACAGAGCTGGTTACAATTAGTGGTTGTGTGACTTTCATCCTATGTTCATTTCTGCAATCATTTCCTAGTTTCAGTTCTGCATTTGGGCCTTTTGTGGAATCATCCCCAGTAAAGCTTTTCCTCTCAGGGTTATACTGATGATGGAGATGCGATTCAAACACCCTGGTGTCGAACAGAGCCGCTCTTGTGTGCTTGTTGCATTCAAAGAGGCTTATCCTGGTTTGGTTAGAGTGCTCCCTGCTTACATCTTTTATTATGGAATGGAAGTTACCTTGCCATGCCTTTGCTAATAACCTGGACATCCAGAAGTTTCCCAAATATCAAATCCAGGATGCTGGGGTGTGTATATGCATCTGGATAAAACAGCAGCTTTGTTCAAGAAAAAAGAGAATAGATCTCCAAGGCCAGTATAACTGAAAACTTCTTCTCTTTCAGATTTTCATCCTGAGGAGTTAGTAACCTCAAGGAGGCAGCAGTATATCCCACCTGGGCATCGGGAGGCAGGCATTATGCTTCAAAGGCTCCTGGAAAAGTTGAAGCTGCATTGTAGTGATCAGCCAATTACTTATTTGGTTATTAACAGTAGCACTTAGAGGTATCATCTAGGGATTAGTGTTCCATTGTGCTATGTCCATATGTACAAAATACACCCGGCTAACAGCGTGCGTGTGTATATACAAGTTATCTATTAACTGGCTGGGTTCTGCCTTTAGCGCAGGCAAGGAGGTGTCCGCTTGGAGATCCGATCCTGGCATTGGCAGTTGTCTCTCAGGTATTCTGGCAGGGATTCACACAGGGATGTCCTGAGGAGGCACGGTCTGATATTCTTACAGTGAGGTAAGAGGAACTATAGTGTATCCATGCCAACCAAGCATTACATATTTGGGTGCAATTACAATAGTTGAAATAAAATATGACAGCTGAAACCTGTCCCAAGCTGGAGAAGGTAAGTACCAGATCTATTTGTGTATCTACGAAGGCTAAAATTGCAGACAGGTAAGAATATGTTATAATCACCTCTGTGTTGAATCACAGACAGCTACTAGGCAAGGAGGAACAGCTCTAGCAGCAGAGCATGTGCTATTACTAGAGACACCAATTGTGATTCTATGGGGAAAGTCAGTTTAATTTTGCACTTAAAGCAAGAATTCGTTAGTTACAGTGTTCACTCTCTGAGACTAGGGCCTACTTCATGGGTGGAAAATAAATTTTTGGCAATATTACAGACTAATTCCTTTACCAGTTAAAGGATCCCTCTGGTAACAGAAATTCAGCACACTAGGTTAGGGTTGGGATTTTTCTTGATTATCTCAGCTTAGTCTCTTGGAGAAGGCTACACGTTAGCAATACAATAGAGGGGAAGAACACAGGGAATGGACAGAACTGGTGCACACAAGACACAGCAGTTTCAACACACCAGCTGAACAGCATATATGTCTTTTTTTGTAAATATGCTAGAAACTACTTTTACAGAGACAAAACACTAGCTGGAGGAAGATCTTATGCACAGGAGAATATGTAGAAATGTTAACTGTATCTCAAATTCTTAGAGAAGCATTACATCATGTGGTGCTTAAACTGTCCACAGATTCATACAAGTAAAATATGTCCAGTATCAACTGTAAGAGCTTGTGGTTTAAAGCGCAAAAGGGGACTTCACTCTCCCCACATGCAGGCATGTTGCCTTGGTTTCCAGGACACTAAGAAAAAAAGAGAATTTCATTGACTTACGTTTTAAAAGATTTCTAGACATACATTTAAATTAAGTTAATTTGGCAGCTCTTTTGTCACTCCTGTATAAAGTCAAGGGGACAGAATGGCACAGGCTTGCACTGACTGAGAAACGACCACTGTAGATGTTGCATGCAGTTGTTACAGTTAATCATTAGATGCTGGCATTTATTGCACATCTGGGCACATAACAGAATTTATATATAAACAAAACAAGGTGCAATCACCATTTTTAATGAGTGTGCACGGTAACACATTGTAAAAAGCCTTTTTATAGAAATTACCTTATTGCAATTACACAGGAAGAGAAAAAGGGTTCTCAAGTTACAGTGTACAAAATAAAGCACATTGCTCCAATGACGGATTTAAGAAAAATCCCTAAGTGTCTTGGGACTGAATGCTATCCAGTTTGAAAGATATTAATTAAATGTCTTCCATTTGTCTATGCTGAGAGATCTGAGATAACTAGTTTGTCTGACTTGTCTCCAGTTTCAGGGGGAGATAAGACTTCATCTGTGTCATAGTCTTCTTCAAATGATCTGCAAAGATAAAATGTATGTCTTTAAAAGCCGTATTTTGGTGAGAGCATTTTCAGGTAAGTTATTTCAGTCACTAATAAAGCAGCTGGCTAAAATACAGTAGCATGCAAGATGTTAACCTCGAGGAGGGTATTTCTAAGGCATTGAAAACAGTGCTGTAGTAATCAGTATTCTGACAGCTGACATCCATCCTCATTTGTAAAGTTCTGAAACAACTTTTCACTGGTGTTCAGCATTATAAAATTTGAGTCCAGTTTCAGTAACAATTGCCAGTAGCTCACAGTAGCTTTAATAGTTCAGTGTAGAAATAAAGTCTTCCAGCCACACATCTAGGCCCTAGAGGATATTTGGCTTGCTCAGAAACACCTGGTTTCCAAAGCGTCTTCTGGCTTAGGATATGTTTTGACATCCACAGAAGAACAATTGTGGCCATGCTGTCAGGTTCCTCTCTCACTTGGTTTGAAGTTTAATATCCAGGTCTCAGCATTTATGGCCTGGGGAGGTTTGGCTGTGAATTCTCAGCTACAGCCAGTTGCACTCTTCAGGCTGGCTGGGTTCTGTGCTCTGCAGCAGAGGATATCACTTTGGTGCTCTCATCCCATTCCTATTCCTGAGAAATGATGTTTTTAAGATGTTTTCCCTCCAGTCTCAGCACACTACAGGTTAGTTTCTCAGGGCTCCCAAGAAATTAAAATTCTTCCTTTTGTTCTGAAAGCAATGCTGCTTATGAAGGAAATGTTGCAGTAGGTGTTCCAATGGCAAGCACAGGAATAGCTCTAGTTTGTTCAGTGATAAACTGTGCTGCAAAAAGGTTAACTCCTTTGATACCCCAGCACGGATGGTGCCAAGAAAGAATTGTCTACCACTTCTTGTGCTGTTTGTCCCTTCACTAACCCATATGCAGGCACAGCAAATCCTTGGGAGCCTGTCACTATGTACGTCCTGCTGTGGGGAGGATTCTGTACTATAGTCTGGTGACCCCTATGTGAGGAGGAGACAAACAGCATCGAGATCTTCCTGGACAACATTTTCATCTTCTCCTCCATAAAGGAAAGCACCTGCTTAGTATTTCTGCCACCTTCTGGATCCTTGCATAAGTGGGAGAAGGGAAACAATGGTCTGAATCCTACACCAATAATTGTTCTGATCATGCATGTAAGGATACCAGAAAGTATGCAATATGCATACTTTTTGCTTAAGCACTACCTGTTGGGAGTCTGCGTGGCCCTGCCTCCCCCCACCTGGGAAGGGACAGTGCATGTTTGTACATGCCTCGGTTTCTCTAACGTCTCCTTGGTTTAAGATGATGCAGCTGAGGAAAACTTTTTATTTCCATTTGAATGCTGTTCTTCAGAATGTTCCTTTTGTGTCCCCTTTTCCTTCAATTTTACCAATTTCTGTTAGCTTCCTTTTTTTCCTATACATGGAATGTAACCTTTTCCCAGTATTGTTTATCCTGCATATTCACCAGCACTTGGAGCTCCATTATAATTTTTTTCCAGTACCTTTTGAAACCTTCTCATGTCTTCTTCAAAAGGGGCTTCCCATTGTCCTTTCCCATGTGAATTACTTTTCCACTTCACTCTTTTGCTCCTTAAGGCTCAACAGTGCCTGCCTTTCCCATCTTCGAAAAAATGCTTTCCACCTTTATGGCTAGGAAGTATCCAAGGGACAGCTTTTCCATGAGATTAGCACTAAAGATAATCACCTCCTCTCCTTCTAGGCCAGTTTCAAAACTTCACAGTCACATAAATACACATATGGGCTCATGTAAATTAAACACCCATTCCTCAAGACTCAACTATGGCAACTCTAGCTTGTTCAGAGAAGGCAAGTTACTCCAGGAAATTCTTTGTCCTTCCTTCTGGCAAACACACATGTTTTGTCACTATGTAGTTCAGCGATGTACTTCTTCCCGCTTTCCCTTCCTTGTGCTGCTGGGTTCATGAAAGTGAGCAACTGAGCCATCAGCCGACTTCAGGGAGACAAGAAGAATGGTCTAAGCTGCCTAAACCAACATCATCTGATCCTCTGTTTTTGTCCCACCTATCCACCTCTGAGCAGGATTGCTCTGCCTTGTGCCCTCACTCCTCGTTGCTCAGGTGAGCAGCAGCTGATAAAAGATGGCCTCTTTCTCCTTATTTCCTTTCCTATGGAGAAAGATCTCTTTCCATGAAGGCAATTGTGGCTTCCATGTACATCAGCTGGCTGAAACTGGTTTCTGGAACAGTGAAAAAAGCAGTGCCCACTTCTGCCAGGCAAGCCATAGCTTATACCTGCATTAAGGGCTTGTGTTGGTCAGATTCAACTATTGCTTCTACCTTCAAACGTGTGTATACATTCACCAGGGAACAAACTCTTATTGAATATCATACACAGATGTATAAAGCAGAGCATGGCTGAGAAGTGTTCAGATCAGCTTAAGCTTCCAGAGAAACATGATGCTTCATTGTTGTCTTGAGCAAGACAACACCTTTCTCTTATCTTATTTTTGGTGATTGTAGCTCTCAACAGTCACAGCATCCTTGAAATCACTCTGCATATCCACTATGTCTTGAGGAGATTCCTCTTCCAGGAGCAGTGCTCTCTCATGGGCAAGCCCGCAGACAGCCACTGACTGGTTTTAGAAACCTTCCATCCAGAGAAGCTACAGACAGAGCTAAGTCACAAATGTGGTACACACTTACTAATTCATCTGTGATTGCTGAATGATGGCTATTTTCAAATGTATTAATAAGACAAATACCAGATTTTAGATTCTGCCAGCTAGCTTAGCCAAAAATCTTCCCGTCTCTCATAGAGCTCATAAATTGTCTTGGTTTTGTCCCCGCTCCCTGTTTCCATCATCCTCAAAGGACAGCAGAAATAATGTATGTGCAAAAACTTAATGCCTGTTTCTGGCAAATTTGTCTGGGCATCCAGCTCTTTGTTTTTCTTTTTCCCTTCCTTTTTTCCTGCGTGGTCTGTTGCTATGCTCCACAAATGAGATCTAATCCTGCTGCCATGACTACAGAGCTTTTCAGGGGCTCTTAAAAGCAAGCAGCAAGGTTGCTGACATGCTCTTTACAGGAAGACACAGAGCTGTTTCAGACAGACTTCAGAAATCTGACATCACCTGCCACTTTTCCTCTGGTTTTGGTGAGTTTGGAGATTCACGGTCCTGCAAAGCTTTTATGGCAGACTCCTATTTCTTTTCTGTGCTGAGGACACAGGTGTTGCAAAGCAGCTGCAGGGAATACAGCAATTTTATCTTCCATCCTGTGTTACCTCATCTTCCATTGTGAAGACCACAAAAAGGCAAGGCAGCTCAAAGGAGACGAGGGAACAGCCCATAGCTGTTTGGATGCACATCACAGGGAGAGAGGGAAACATAGCTCTCAATAGCTTTGCAAATCTCTGTGGCTAATTAGTAGGTGCTACTGTTATCCCAAGCAATTTCCAGTGTGGGAAGTTTGAAAATTACGCAATCTTCTCAGCAGTCTTACTTTAATGGCTCTACAAATACTGTTCAAGAATGGATGAAATCCTGAATCATGCAAGGTTAACATGGGATAAGCATTCTTTGGATGTTTGTTATATTAACCTGGAGACTTCCAGAGAGAAATATTCTCAAGAAGATACTAACACAGACACAAGTCTAAAAGATAATTATACTCAATCTGCATTAGGAGCCTCTGCCGGAAGCCCTTGCACACAGAGAGGTTCTGGAGCAACTGCTCTGCCTAAATTCATTGACTCTAAGGATAGCTGGAGTACCTGTCCATAACTCTACAGAAGGGTGCAAAAATGAGTGTAGGTATTGCAGAAACCAACTGTGTTTTAAAGAGAAAGTCTCAACAAACTTAGTAAATAATGAAAACGTTGAAACACAGCTTATGAAGAGTACAGACAAATAGGCATAAAGTTTGGCAGAAAGTAAAATTATTTGACTAAAGAAAGTCTTCACTAGATATAATAAATGTAACAGAGCTACACCTTCTAATCTATGATAGTGTGACATGGTCAATACGTGGCCAAGACTAGCAAAAGTCATTTGATCTCTTTTTTGTACAGCTGCCAAAAGAAAAAAGCTTTGTCCTTTTTCCCAGCTATCTTCATTACTGCAGCATGTGTAGCCGATTCAAACGGCTCCCCACAAAGAAGCCCATTGTGACAAATACACCAATACTGCCTTTTGGAGCAACTGTTTCAGGCCTCCCATGCTCCAGTATTGAGTCCAAATGATAAGTCCACTAATCCACTACCTCTGTTAAAAGTGGCATCCACATGCTCCTACTAAACCTCAGCTGGAGCCAAATAGTGTGTCCCCAGGGCAATGCAATGCCTATGCTTACCCTTCTTGTAACTGTTCGTTCCCAGACTCCTCAGCCACAAGAATCTCATACTCTTCAGCAGCATATCTGTCCCAGTCAGAGGGTTCAGGGCCATCATTTTCAATGTCCTAAAGAGATCAGACAGTCAAGCACACTATGTCCATACCTCTCTACAGTTGTTTACAATAGGTCTAAACATGTGAAACAGTAATTCTAGGAATAGTAAGCAACTGTACAGAAACAGCTAATCAAAAATTTTCTGAACTGAAAGATTCACAATTATCTTAAACTATTTTAAAATCTGCACATAAATTGATGATCCAGTTTAAACAAAAGAACAAAGTAGGGTGGTTCTGGATTGGGATATATTTAAGCCTTGAATCATGGAACCACAAAAGTTCCTCTTACAAGTTATGTGAGAACAGCTGGGAAGGAACCAGAGTTGGTTTTGGCAAGCCCACCACTTTACTGTACTTGACCAGATAAGAGGCTTCTGGGAGATAGTCTTTAATCTGTAGACACATCTGGTTTCACTGGATGTGCAAGGGGAGCCAGAGGTGAGGGACTTTACACCAACAGCTGACAAAACTCAAGTCTCTGAACATCCCACAGTTAGTGGTGAGCAACGACTGCAAAATACAAAAGCTACAATCTCCTCCTGCTTGGGAAGAGAGGATGGTGAATGACAGTGCAGCCAGGCTGATAACCAGGCACAATATGCAATATCCAAACCTTCCATCTAAGTCTACCGCCTGTGTGGCCTGATCACGGAGCTGGCATCTCATCTGCCTTGTCGCATGTTGTAAAGAAGGCCTGTCTCTTTGCTTCTGTTTAGGCTATGGCAAAATTGCTAGTGCTGTTTTAAGGATCAGACTCCAACCTGGATGTTTAACAAATCTTCACATGTAGCCTACTTATTTATGACTGCAGCTGTGTAGGAGACAGGAAGAGACAAACGGGATCTCAAGTTTTGAATATCACAGCTCCTTTCTAAGCTGAGCGAACCAGGTTCCCTTCTAGTGCAGCTGAGCCCCCCTCTTTAAGCCTGCTGAATCAGTGCAACTCAGCAGGCTCTGGTCATTCTCTCTAGAATCACACACTGCACTGCCACTGCTGGTGTAGTAGGATCAGTGACAGCAACCAAATCATAGAATAGCAGTATAATTTGTGTTGGAAGAGACCCAGGAGGTCTGTAGTCCCAGCCTCTGCTCAAATCAGGGTTTGCTATGAGGTCAGATCATGGGGCTCAAAGCTTTGTCTAGTCACATCTTGAAAACCTCCAAGAATAGAAGCTGCATAACCTCTCTGGGCAACCTGTTCCAGTGTTTGACCACCGTTTTTTTTGACCGTGAAAAAGGTTTTCTTATATTCAGTTGGATTTTCCTTTCATCCAGTTGCATTCCAAAGATGGGTTTGAGAAGGTCTGTATTTAGAAATAAAGGTGATTTATACCTTTTGCACTGCAAAGGGATCCCTCTGTTCATTGTCCAGATATTTCTCTAAATTAAAGAAGGTGTTGTAGAATACATGAGCCATTCTGCACCTCTTCAGGTCTCGCAGGGTTACTCTTCCTGCAGAAAAAAACGCCCACAATATTGTGCTGAGTTCTTAGTGAAAGACTGGACCTGTTCCTTGTCAGTCTTATCAAAGTTTTAATTAAAACACCAGTATGCTACAAAAAAATTCTTATTACAAGATTTCTTCCCAAGTCAGTCAAGGATTTTAACATTATTCAATAAATGGGTATGTTTATTAGGCTTAAATCTCACATACATATGGAGGTCTTTCACATTCATGTGAAATATGAAAGAATGTGAATGGGGATAGTCCAGTTTCATAATCTAGACTGTCAACACATCCCACAGCTGGAATATACAAGACCTGTTGCTCCAGTTCCAGCAAGTTAATTCACAAGGTCTCTTGTTTTAGTATTTCAAACCTCCTGATGCATAACATGACACAATAGCCACTGTTCAGACTTTTACCCTGTGCAGTAATTTCAGCCCTGTGATTCTTCACCCACCTATAGATTGGTTTCACGTGACATTACTTTTTCGATCCACCATAGATCAAAGAGGATGGAACCTCCCATTAAATAGGTCTTACCTTCCCTTTCTGGCTTAACGAGATCAAGCATCTGACACAGTAAGTCATGAAACGGCAGTGGTTCTATGCCCATCACTTCCATCCGCTCACACTGCTCCTCATAAAAGTACTCCAGTTCATACATGGAGAGCACTCCATCCCCATCCAGGTCCATGCACCGAAACCAGTACTCAATGCTAGGAAAAAGAGACAGGACTAGTGAAAGCACAGCACTAGGAAATACATACAGCAGAGACTGCAGCAATGCACATCCCCTTTCCCCAACCCTCTAATGCTCTTCTGCCCAAAGACTGGCATAAAAGCAGGGATGAAAATACCCTTGGGAAAAGGCACAGGCTAGCACTCAAGAGTGCCTCCTGTTAGTTTCCTAGGTGGCTTGTGAGCACAGCCATGCTCACGACCTGTTTCACCTGGTAGCTGTAGCAAGCATCCACTGCGCTGTAGCTCAACTGTCTCAGGTAGGTTAGAGTGTCCCTGTCTGATTCAGCAGCCAAAGGTAGCCAAATACAACCAACTCTGAACCCAGGACACTGGCCATCCCTGAGTGATGCTGGTGAGTGATCAGGCAGGCATGGTACGCTCTTATTTCCTCCACTCCTTTATACAGAAGGCAATGCTATCAGGCAGTTACACTCTACATCATGCCTTCGCCTCTGGATAGTCCAACCCTGGATTTATGAAGTCGTCTTCTCATTTTTAATGATAAGGTTCCTTGTCCTAATAATCGCATGCAGATCTAGTTCAGCTCTGCACAATAGTCTCCCACTGGCTGTACAAACCAACCACATGGGCAGGTTTACAAAATGACACAATGAAGTTTCCCTACAAACTCTTCTTACGCACTTGCTACATGCACGAAGGGAACATGCCTATCTGCTGCAAACATCTCATGGGTTTACCCCCAGAGCCAGTGCTCCGTGGCATGAGGTAACCAAAGGCATTGATGACTACCGACATTTAATATTACAAAAAAACTCTGCTTCTACACAATTTCTCCTCAAGAAAGGCAAATCATTTGACCAAACGTGGACAGTAAGTTGCTTTCTTCCTAATAATCACTGGAATGCAAGCTGCCATCACTTGTAGGAAGCAGTAGGTCACAGAAATTTCTATAATCTTATCTGCTCATCTCAACACTTTTACTAAGACATAGAAATCAGTCAGACCTTGTAGCACTCCTTTTGTCTTCCTCTGAAATCAGGAGCCACACAAAATCGGCATAACTCATGCGGCCTTCCTTTTGAACTTCGTTGCCTCTGGAAGACAAATGAGGAGAAGGAAAAAAAAAAACAAACGAAAAACACAAACCACCAGGCTCCTAAATACTCAGAATGTTATCAAACATATTTTTCAAAAGCCCCAAATCATTAGTGAGAGAAAATGGGGCATCGTCACCCATTTAGCCTGTACTCCCTGCACTCCCCAGCACCAGTCCTTGTGCACTTCCCCACAGGCACAGCATTTGCTGCCTTGCTGTCACTGCAGAGCTGAGGCTCATCTACCACATCCCCTCCCACAACAAGTGCTGTGCTGTTTTACTTTTCAGAGACTTTAAAGCAGTGCTCTCCAGCTATCCCTGTGCCACTGTGGGGCACAAGCACGTAGTGCTTGCATGTTCCCTCCGTCTATGCCCAGCTTATTCTACAATGAGGTCTATAGGTGGTCATCCTGTGGGACTTCTTAATTTGTTTTCTTAAAATACCCAGAAGTCTCACTCCATTTTCAGGCAGCTCCAACTGGAGCACCATGTTTGAAACCATTCTGATCAGTGGGGATTTTTGAGAGTATCTTGCATTTCTAATCAGTCTGACAGAAATTCCCTTCACTTCTATCCCCAATCAGTATGCTATTCCTCTCCTCACCTCACCACAGCGCCACTGAATATTCGCTCAATTATCCTGTTTGATAAAGCTGGAAACAAAGAAAACACAGAGAAAATTAAACTACAGGTCACAGGAATAACTACAATCAGTTGTTTATGCTGAATCCACACAAACCCATTTCCCATTGCTAAAAGAATGCTTTATCTACATTGCCTAACCACTTTACTGGTCACTGTTTAGCACCATTTTGTAAAAAACAAAGATGATTCTCCCAGTGTGTCTGCCTTTGTATCCTCCCAAACACCATATTTCCCCACAAATATGGCAACTGTGTGTTATCTGGATTCTTGGACATGGGCAGTGTTACTCCTACTTTGCTGCAGTAGGATTTGTCACATAAGCAAATCCTGATGATAGAAGGAGACTATTTTAGTGTGTATTGCAAAAGAATTTCAGTTAGCAAGCAAAAATCACACATCAAATCCCTACAAAACACTTCTTAGCAGAGCACAAGCTGCAGCAATCCTGCTGCAGGGAAGGACAATGAAAAACAAGCACCATTTTAGGTGAGTGGGAGGGCTTTGCCAGTCAGGAAATATGTGGCATGGGATTGTTATGGCAGAGACACACCAGCCAAGCAGCAGGTACCAGTCTTGAGCAAGACTAGCACCCTGACCTCACCCTCCCAGACTGCTAATGCACTTCCTTTAGACCCTCACCTGAGCTCCTTCTACATGTTCTCCATCACTTCTGAAGTCCTGGCACACTTCCGCCACAGCAGCCAGGCAGACCCAACCTGCACCACCCCTCAAATCCCCCTGGAACAGTGCTGGCAAGGCTGCTGTACCACTGCACTGATGGTACCCTTCACCCTACCCACAGCACCCCTTCTGTCTTTAGCTCTCCAGCACCCAGTGCTCTCAAGCCTCCTGGGCAACAAATACTCCATCCCCACACTCCAGCATCCCAGCAGGGACCAAGTCTCCCATATCACCTATGCCAAGTCAGGCACTCCTCCATCCTCACCCCATCCAGCCCCATTATCAACGCTCCTGACCCCTGTGACTGCCACACTCACCCAGAACCCCCGTGGCCTTTCCATAAATGCCTGCATTCGGAACACGTGGGCCACTACACCACTCTGACACACACACATACCTACAGCATTGTTATTCTCACACCCCTTTCCTTCTTTCTTACTTCAGCCCACTAGGATCTTGGCTCCTACAAAATGTTGTCCCCATCCCCAGAGCTCCAGCAATGCCTGGCAACTTCTCACACCTCCAGATCCCTGTAGCCCTACGCACTACAACACCTTACCACACGCTTCACCTTTCTTGCCACTTCTAGTCATGCATTGCGTCCAAACATCCCATTTCCCCAAATCTGATTCTTTGTCCCAGATCTACTTTCCCAAAAAGTGCAGCAACCACATGGAAGAATCCAAGAAGGCTTTGCCTTCAGGATTAAACGTGCTAGTCAACAGCTCAAGCTCGTGACTAAAACATTACATCATGAGTCCTAAAAGGTAAGCACATAGGCATATCATGCTCTCAGAACATGGATAATCCTAAAAACAGCCAACCTGAGTGCTTCCATCTAGCACAAAGCATACAGAACAAGTGCCTTTGGATTTTTTAGCCCTTTATCAATTTGTATTCCATTAACTTATCCATGGCCCTTCAACCTTTGAAAACTCATAGCATCTGCTCAACTTGTGCAAAGGAGTTCCACACTGAACTCAAGAGATATTCTCCAGAATGCATTTGCAAACTGAAATTCACCAGGCTTCACTGGACTCTAGAATTTCTCTCACGCATAATGAGATTGCACTTCAGCAATCTTTGAAGTTCACATGGGCTTGTCCTTCTTGTCCCTACTTCCAAGTTCCTGCAAAACCCTTAGTAAATAATAAGCAAGTTTCAAGACATTATTTTAGCTTGTCCTCCTGGCAGTGACCCACACGTGAACAGAAGCCCCCTCTCTAGATACTTATGCAGAAAATAGTGTGTACTGCATTTCTCTGTGTCTAAGCCCCTACAACTGGCTCTGTAAATCAGCATTTGTATAAAAGATGGATGGCTCCATTTAAATTTTTTTGAGGCATCAAATTAACCAAATTAAAGCCAGGCTTTACTCTTCAGTGGGAACATTCTATTTTCAGCAATCCCCTTCGTCCCACCACAGCCTGCAGGCAGCATACCTTGATCACTGTACCTAGCCAGATCCTTCTGGCTGATGTAAAGATCATGGTCAGTGTCCAGCTCCCAGAATTTACAGTATATAACATAGAAGTGCTCGTAGGAGAAATAATCTGTGATCTGATTTATGTCATCCTCTTCTTCCAAGAGAGCAAGAGTCTGAAAGAGTACAAATAAAGTGGGAAGTTAAACCTAGACAAAGAGGCAGTTCAGCAGCTGAAGTCCTCCAGCCTCTGGGGAAGCTGGGTGAACGCAGCTCTGAGAGCTAATCCAAAATGCAGCCTCTCTCTCCTGTAGGAGACTTTGTTGCTGCATTCCTTAACAGGCACTTAGAGAGCATCTGGCTTGGCTATCCTGGTTAGCATATGTATGCACAATATTTCTGCCACTCCTGTGAACAATTTCTGCTAATTTTCAGCTATAGTGAAGAATGAGGCAGAGAAACAAGAATACAACTGCTGTCTCAGCTGGGATCCTTTATTTATGAAACATTTCTGACCTGCACCAGAGACTCTTAGAGCCATTTACAACAGCAAGTCCACAGTTCTCCACAGGAACTGAGATATATCTTTACACATCACACATCCTTGCCTGGCTCCCAAAGGGCAAAATCAAGTCTTGCTCCAGACTCATGCCTGGACTGGAGAAGGAGGCATGGATCCCAAGCAGATCAAACCCATCACACTGATTTTCCTGGGCTGTTGCTGACAGGAATTAGTCTGGTTTAACTGGGAGGCTTAGACAGATCTCCCACCATGACATCTGTTAATGTGTCTTGTTAGATAACATTTAGTGACAATGCCCTTGTTTCATTCCCACTTCACACCTGCCTCTGTCCTTCCCTCCATTCTGCCTTCCCACCTACAGGAGAGTATTGCGTGTTTACCAGTGCCACCTCCCTGCTTGCCTTTCTCCTACTGTTGAGGCCACAGGACACCAGGCAGCCTTTTCAGTCTAATAAATTATGGCTGCAGGAATGTGAAAAGGCTAACAGACTCAAGTGAGCTATAGGTCTGTCCTCCCCTGCCCTCACAGCTTCTCAGAAGGGAGGAGGTGAAACACAGCCTGAGCTATCCCAGGGAGTTGTGTCTCTAAGCAGGCAGGCTTAGTGGCCCTTCTATCCATAACCATAAAAACAGATGCTGTGCTATATGTAGGCACTGATAGTTCAACGTCAACTTTCAGTCATCTCTGCATCCAAGGAACCCAACTGAGTCTCAACAAAACTCTCACATCCTGCTCTCCACCAGGTTCAATAAAGTTTCAGGCAGGGACAACAGGACAGCACTGCCAGACCTGCACTATTCTGACTTGCTGACACTCAAGTCTAAAAACCTCTGATCACTCACTCGCTAGCCTCTTCAGATTCTTTGTGGGTTTATCCATTTCTTTGTAGATAATAATCACTTGCGTAGGTTTTTCAATAACTTATTTTTTCTTTTATAGCTCATACCAAAACATGCCATTTACACATGCAGCCAAGAGCTGCCCAAACGAAATTACAGTCCCAGAGCTGAACTTCCCTGCTGCAGCAGATGAAAGGCAGAGTAGATACGCAAGGAGAAAAAGGGGAAGAGTGTATAAAGGGAGAAAATGAGTGAATAAAGATGCAGGATACGTTGGGAGGATGTTTATAACAGAGGCTAGGGAGGAACTGGGATGAGACAATCTAAGGGAGCACTGATTTTTTTTTTCATTAGCTGATGTGATCAGTGGGGCAGAAGATGTCTGAAAGGAGGAGTGTTAATTCATGCTTGAGGCTTTTGAGGAAGACAGCACGCTACATCTAGAAGGGGGAACAGAATGCAGTAGGGAAGTCTCACTGCTTTAGCTGAGTCCTTAACCTTTCAGCCTAAAGACTTGCTGACTTTTTAGGTTGGGCTGGAGCTGAAGAGCCTTAGACAGTTTTAACCTGGTGCTCTTTTGGGCAAAATGTACAGAGAAGAGAGATTCACATCCTGAAACCTCTGCCCAACATAAGGATACATCACAGGGATTGTAAGAAGAACTAAGCTTCATTTGTTAACCTTTCTGAAGTCTACTGCAGAAGTGGGAATCAGTGCCTGAGATGCACGGTCTTACAATTGCACAGCACAACGGGCCTGACCAACTGTCAGTGGGCCGACTGCCGGTTGGGAGTCAGGAAATTGGCTGTCCTACCCACTGCGTATTGTAGGCAATCCAGCAGCTATTCTTGGCTGCTCAATGAGCCACTTCACGTAGGTACACTGCTGTGTCTTGCTTCCCTTCTTCTTTGGCTAGATCAGGACCCAAGAGCCAATCTGCCTGATGCAGCTTCAGAGCAGGTACAGTCACCCCTTGACCTCCTATCAGTGCACTCTTGGCTACTCCAGTCCCTGGTCTTCTCTCATCTCCACTCAGACACAACTCCTCCACTAGCTCCGGCACTCTCCTGGCACTGAGCATTTGGCCTACCTCACTACAACCCAGGCACAGCTCCCTTGCTATATAGTATACAGCTACAGGAACAACGGTATGATGCATTCTATATCTTGTTCAGGCAGAAACCAACATACTTGCAAGAAGTTGCTTTTCCTCAGCTCTGTTAGAGTGATCTTCCCAGACCAGGATCGATTCACTGTGTAGAATATTCTCTGTATAACCTGCAACACATGAACAGTGCTCTTGAAATCAACTCCTGAAATATACCAGTTTAGGAATTTAAATGCAGTAAACTTTATTTTGCTTATTCACTCATCCTAAGGGGAATTCTTTTTGAAAACTGTTTTGTGATCTTTTTTGTAGGTATTACTATCCTTAATTCACTATGCAGTCTGAAAGTAACATTTGTTTCTGAAACAGTATTATCCATTTCCACTCTGCAGGTACTTCCACTGCTCTTAATTCACATCTTTGGGCATGCAGATGCATTATTTATATCAGGGAATATGTTCAAAGTGCTGACAAATCATTCTGAAATTGAGTTTTTCAGGTTTTAGGCACTGTAACTTGCATAGTTCTCAACTGAAACAGTGTTCTGCACCAGAAAAAAAAAATAATCAGGACTTTTGAAGAGGAAACAGGATATGTAAATGAAAGTCACAATTGATGTCTGACCTATTGTGCCTGTTAACAGCACCTCATCCTCTTGGTAGCTCCACTGAAAGTAAGCAATAGAGATTATCTGTCTGCACTTATCTTAGGTAGGTGTTAACCTCATTTGTCTCCTTTACTGATCTGCCTCTGGTGAAAGTGAGCAAAAAGCAGAGGGGGAATGCACAGACTTCTGAGAACCCAAGAGAAAGAGTTCACAATATGAGACTGAATACACTCCCAAGTACCTAAAAAAAGCAAGCTGAACCCTCCCTAGTCCACTCCTTGTTAGCTTGTCAAATATCATCACAAAGTGGGGAAAAGGCAAATGTGTGATCAAGCACATGCAAGAATGAACTTAACAGGAGAAACAACAACAAACAAACATCTGCAACAAGAGAAATTAGAAATATAATTAATTTAACTATTAGCACTGAAATCTATGGAATACAATTCTTGTCGACCAAACCTAATACAAACAAACCTTTGATGTCTCTGACATCATGTTGACATGTTATCCTAGAATTTTGGTAAACCTTAATAGTGCATGCTATTCCAACACAAAAATTAACTTTACACAACAATACGGACATTATAGGGATTAATCCAGTTAACAAATTAAATGGGATGGGCTTGTTTTTTAGCTAGAACTAGTTTTGAGTGGGCAATCACCATTTAAGGGCCATGCTTTGACGCAGTCACACAAGCGCACGTTCTTAGTCCAGAACGGATCTGGAACCAAGTATGCGATTGTTGTTAACAGTCTGCTTTGGGATACACAGATCAGTGAGACAGTAAATGCTGATGAGCACAAATAATTTTGAGAGCAATAAGAATGATTTGAATACTCAAAATGTATCCTGAAGGGAGAGAACTAATATATTCAACTTGGCTGAACATGACACCTGTTGGTAGCTATCCTGGTCCTTAAAAGTCTACATGGGGAGATGTGGGACAGTATGAGGACTTTTTGTCTCTCATGGAATACATAACTAGAAGCTGAAATCAGCCTAATTCAGACAGATAAGAAAGCACTTTTACACCGCCATTGATTAGCCACTGGGACAACTCCCAAAGAAACACTGCAGGCTCTTTATCACTCCAGACTTCAAAGATGGACGTCCTTCTAAATTTGGGTATCAATTCAATTAAAAACAAAGAAACAAAAAAAATCTATCCTAACCATAGCAATCACTGAGCAATGTTCTATGGCCTGTGTAACGCAAGAGGTCAGACTAGGTAATCACAATGATCTTTTCTGGTCTTAAGCCCAATGAAAAAGCTGTATGTTTGTTTCTTTAATGCCTCTGGCAGCCGCTGCCATTCTGGACTCTATTTTTGGACTTTGTTTGGCCTTTGCTTCCAGATTGCACTACAGCTCAGAGGCTGAAGTGGTCTCACCTCATACATAACCATTATCACACCTAACAACTCTGTAGCAATTCTTAAAGATACAGGGTTTTCATACCATTCCAAGGACTCAAAAATAACATTCCCAAGAAAAAGGACCTCTATCCAGCAATCTTTTTCTTTTCCTCTGCCTGCAGGGTAATAAAAGACAACAAAATATCCCCGTTTGTGACATGTAAGAAACTGTTCCTCTATCAGACCATATTGATAAAAATGTTCCATCTGCTCTCTCCTCACCTAGCTGTAAAAATAAGGCATTCAGAAGTAAAATGGGATCTCTTTTAATCTCTTTTACCATGTCCAGTCACTCAGTGCAGGATTTATTATTCAAATAATGGTCCAGTTTGAATGGATAGCACATAGCGTATATATCAGTACAAAATGTCAAACTTCTCTCTCTCTTTTCCAGGTTGTGAAAACCAAGCTATCAAAAAAAGCATTTGTGAAACATCCTAGAACATAATTACACAGCCTGAGATGATTTGCAGCATTCAAGCCACACTTGTCAGTTATGCCTTACTGAAAGCCATAACTGGCTTCGTTTTCCCCAGCATGGAAGATTATTTATTCTGAATCCAGTACATAAGCCTTTGGAAGGGGGAGCCCCTTCCTATTTTGTCCATTATTCTCATGTAATCTCCCTCCAGGACCCAAACCATTGATGGGTCAGTTCTAGACCTTTCCCCAATCTTCCCATAGAAGAACAAAAGCAATACCATTTCTGGAAAAAAACACAAAGCTTTATTAAACCCGGTAGTCCATCCTCCCCTTACACATTCGCATTGGTAATACTGCATAAGCCGAAGCATTTTTCAACAAGCAATAATGTTTTGCCAAGTTGTTTTTAGTTGAGCCAGCTTTTCGACAACAGCATGCAGTGCAAACTCTGAGCCTTGTTTGAACATTCTGCGAGAAGTCACATTTTAAACCTTTTACAATAAATGCTATGTGATATTCTTCATAGTCTTCACCAGCTTCAGGAGTCGTTCTCTGTTGAAAGAAACAAAAGTAGTTTAGTATACTGGCAATACAACAGCTAACAGATACTGATACAGATTAAATTACAGCCTATTGCATCCAAAAGGCACCTCTAATAGGTGCAGAGGTAGGCAAAAAAAAAAAATTTGAAACATGCATACACATCTTACCCATACTAGACTGTTAGCTTACTCCCCAGTGATTTCAACCAAGTGATGCTGTATCCAGCAATGAACACAAAAGCCAGTGTCTCCTTACAGCCCTCATCTGTAACACAAAAATAAAATGTAATTCTTGCACTTGCAGCAAATACAGCATTCTATCACTGTAATTAGGTATAAGGCACTCTACCTTGAAGGGATCAAAAGGATCCAAGTAGTCTCAAAATCCAAGGACAAAGCTGTTTCCTTCATTACCTCCTGGTGGAAATACTGAATTTTGTAACATTAAAGAGAGAGAAGTGCGAAACCGTCCGTGAAAGGAGATGTAAGAAATAGGAACTCCTGGTATCAGAGAGGAGAACCGCTACTGCAGTGGGCCAAGTACTGCCACTCCAGATGGGAGCAACCTGACCCAACAGACTGGCTGTCTCCTGAGGTCTCGACTCTGCTCCAGCTCAGTGACCTGGCCAAGGCCAAACACGCTGAGCTCAGAAGGAATCTGTCTGACAGCACAGACACCCAGAACAGCATTGTCCTGCCAGTGTGAGGAGCCTGTGAAGGACATCACAGCTTTGTAAAATTTGCCACTACACTCCATTCCAACCACAAGCACCACTGCTTCCTGGCTGCCTGGGAGCAATCCTAGGAAGCCACCTCTGTCAGAGCATTGTAAGGGTGCCTAAAGGTTTAGACTGAAGTAGGAAAGCACAGAGGAGCACTGAGGAGCTTCATGTACTCGGGAAGGGTCCGGTTCTGTAACTGCTTTATGTTGGTCACACAGGACCTTGCCCAGGCACAAGGGAAGTTGTAGAAAAGGAGAGAGGGAGGAAAAGGTGTTGCCCTTTTCAGCAGCAGCCTGCACTTCAGTTATCTCGAAGTGGAACCTCAGCTTCACACAGCTGCTCTCTCAGACCAGAACATGCATTGCACCCCGATGAGGTCCAGAGAGTGCAGCACTTGCTGCTTCTGGACACCAAGGGTGATCATTTGGGGGATTACTCTACAAAGACATTCGTTTCTTGCTTTTATTCCCACCTTTAGTCCCTGAAAAATACAGGAACAGCATGTGACTTGAGAAGAGGAACCTGGAAAGGCAGATGCACAGAACTGCCTTTGTCACTACCCAACAGCCAGCACCAGGACAACAACACACTGTATCTTGACCTGCTCACCAGCAAAGAACAACTGGTTGATATTGCAGTCAGAAACTAATGCTAGTGTGACCTCAAATATTTCAGCTCTCACTCCTCCATGTACTTTAAACACCAAATACCAGGGTACATGTGCCACAGGCACCTTCCACACTCACCTGTTCATGTGCCTCCATAATTCCCTGGCCATTGTTATATTTATTCTGGCCAGTTACTATGCTTAATGTAGCTTGTCTTGGTCCATGGGGACTAAATGTATTGACAATACACTGATGTTCACTTTGATGTTCAAGTGCATCTAAACATTTAAAATTGGTTCTTGTTACACATTTTCATAAAATGTTAGTGTGACAGTTCAGGGTTTGCCCAGAGCAACAATGTCTTTCTGCCATCCGTTCCTTACAGGAAAGGAACAAGCCTGTGTCTGCCAGTAATCTCCCAGCTGCCAGTATGTGATGCAGCTGGCCCCCATGCAGACCCTGGCAAGCAAACAGGAGAAACTTGGGCCAAACAGGCCCTTGGGCCCTGTTGTGATACAACTCCCATCATCAGGTCTGTCTGAACTTGTTACTGCTGCAGAGATAAAATATCCTAACAGTTTCGTACCCAACATGAAACACTAAATGCTTAAAAAAAAGTACAAACTTATTCAGGTAAAGCACCAGTCTAACTGCTGACTGCAAAGCTGGAACAAAGCTACAGAACAAAACCCCACAAAAAATAGTAGTCACAAAAGCTCAGAGACTCAGAAAGACTAGATAGGCTTTCTGGCAAGAGCGAGAAGCAGGGGAGTTGGACGGTAGCCCCTGTGTGCAATGGATGCTTTGTACCATGGAACAATCACAGATTCTCCATGTCTAAGTGACAGAAATCTTCAAACATACAGCCTTCCATGTCTCAGTAGCCCAGCAGAATTAGGGGTAACTTAGCAGCTCTCAAAGACCAAACAAGAACCTCTCATTTTCCTTCATCAGGATTGAATGCCAAAAAAGTTGTGTTTATAGATTTGCTTAAGACCAGAAAGAATCATTACTAACCTTTTGAATAGCCTCTTGTACACATAGGCAGATTCATTTTTCCTTTGGAAGTAGTTCTTAAAATAACTCATTGCCAGTAGTATTAAAAACACGTATTTTTTGAAATAACTGAAGGATTTGCTGATGGGAACAGTGACAAATCACAAAGAGGGTTGGTACAGCAGTATCACAGGAGATCAAAGGAGCCAGCCTACCGTCGTAATATACCGGGAATGGAACTCAGGAGCATCCTTCAGGAACGTCAGGCCAGGATGCGTTTCCACCACATCCTGCAAGATAAGACCAAATAAAATGAAATAGATTTTCTTCTCCTTTTAATGTTTAGAAGTTACTGGGTTTACAAACCAATACTTTTGCTTACTTTGGAAACGTATCTGCAGCATTAACAATAAAACTGAAATGACATCTTTTTATCTATAAAGTGAACCTTCTAGAAGTATAAGTAGAATACATTTTCTGGGCAATACGCACCTGTTGGGCCATTTTGATTTACTTAAGGACAGAAAAACAAAGGAAGAGAGTTAGTGAGTAGATGAAAACTCATTTTCATTGGATGAGACAAAGAATTAGTTAGCTAACCATGCAACTATCTCCTCTCCAAGATCTTTTTTTTCCTCCTTTCATTGAAGATATTACATTTATTAGAGCTGGGTGTCAGAAAAAAAAACATTCCTTGAAAGGTTGAGAAAGTTGCCTTTTGTGTCCTCCACAACAATGAAAGCTCTTGTGAGCCTCAGAATGCACACAGATATGATCAGTGCTTTTCCAAAAATTACTTGAACTACCTGTGGAGATGCCTCTTTCTCAAGATCAGCTTTTTGCAAGCCAAACACTGGCTCATGATGCCAGATCTGCCAAGAAACGTGTGACCAAAAACGTGGAGAAACTGCTCAGATCCTGTATGAATCAATGTCTGTGTAATTTCTACATGTCTGACTCCTCTACCCTTTAAAAAAAAGTGTTCAAAGTTTTGCTTTGTTTATACCATGACATGGCAAGGGGATAGAATGCCCTTAGGGGTGTGATATGACCAAATTTAGGCCAGTCTAATTTGACGTCTAATATGATGGTGTAATATGGTGTAATATTGCTAGTCTCTGGTTGACTGACAAACAAGATTGTACATGCCTTTGATTGCACCAATAGCTAAAAAGCACAGCTGCAATCAATCAGCAAAGGCAGTGTGCCCAGTGGAGAAAAGATGAAAAGGAACATGAGAAAATTTACCCATCGCAGTCCCAGTTTTGTTTGAGACACAGAAACATCCAGTGCAGACACAAAATCTTTCCCCAAAGCAGCATCTCCACAGAGGTTTTGCATAGAGGGCAACACAGTGTGAAAAATCTAGGGATATGTGGAAAAGCTCAGAAAAAGTATCAACAGATGATCAGAAGAGCAGATAGACCCTATTTATAGAGAGACTATAAAGAAACCCTAAACCTATCCAGAATCTGCCTAAACAGCCACAAATAATTAAAGAATGATACTTTGCTTTGTTAAAAATATCACATGTGACTAAAAGGAAAAGAAAGAAATGAAATCAGGATGCACAGATTTAGCCTGAATATTGGGAAAAAAATAAATCAGCAGTGAGACTTGTGCACTAGCAGGTTTAGAGGCATATACAGAACAATTGGAACTGCAAAATTTTTTGCAGAGATTTCCACATGATATTGTATCTGGTAGTCTTGCTAGACACATTCAATTATAATTGTCTTGTCAAGCAACTTTTACAACTTTTCTAATAATCTTTTATGTTGTGCTTGAGTATCAACAGCACCATGTATTTTTCCCAATAACCACCTAGAGAGACGGGGCAAATTTCAGCCTGGTTACCAGGCACTTATAAATACGAATCCTGACAAGAGACTAAGTAGAGTTTTGACAATCCTCAGTGACTTTAGCAAGATATGTAGCTGGTTGGCACTTATGCTAAATAGTCCACTCAAAATGCTTATTTCTATTTCACTCCAAAATAAACCCCACCCAGGTGCTGTTCAAACCAAAGGTCTGCATGCCCTTGGGAAACATTTAAAGACATGAAAATAAAGAAGTTACAAAATAAACATAGCACGCTCTCCCCATCCATTCACTGCTGAACTGTTGCAGGTACCTGAAGCAGTGGGATGAAGTCCTCCTGTTCTAGGTAGTCACAGCTAGGCTTCGCTAAAAGGTATGTAAATCTGGATGCATCATCATGGCAGTTACATAGGATTCTACAAGAGAGATGAAGAGTTACTCCAACCACTTTGTACCTCACAGGACAATCACAAACTACAGATGGATTATGAAGTGCCTTATCACATGTTATGCAATACATCTACACCGTGAATTGTGCAAAATTGACCTCAGGCTACTAGCACCCATTTTCTTCAATACCTTTCAGCAGCACCACAGTACTACCACCCAGTGGAGCTTTTTCCATGTTAATATTGCTGTGCTAAACAAGGTTTCTTACTGACGACTGTTCTTACTTTGATTCCACAGCATCTTAGTAAGTAACCTGACTTTTCAAAATGCTGCATTGCTCACTGATCTCATTTGAAGTCAATAGGATCAACCTAATGGGATGCCATAACAGACATGCTCTCCAAGTTAATCCTTTACTGTATTTCGATATTTGAGGATATTAAACTACAGCAACTAAATTTTCAACCAGAAAAATCACTCCCCAGAAGGGAAAAAAGAGCATCCCTTGTTAATTATGGCACAGGTGGCTGCTGTGCACTGAAGTCATGGAGAATAGCCTAATGAAAGAATTAGTAGGACTCAGTATTTAGAGAAGCATGTCAACTCATTCCTTAGGTTAACAGTTTGCAATTATGACACCGATTCTTGTCTCTGCTTTCTTCTAATACGAAATACTATGCTGGTCAAAGGTATCACAATTACTTAATTCACTCCAAACAGAAATACTCATGAAAACGGAAACTCCATGACATTTACCAAATCACTTCTGGATACCTGTAACAGAAGAGAACATTCAGATATACCAAACACTAAGTTGTTCAAATAGTGTAAGGGAAACAATAAATTGCTCAGAAAATTACCCTGGATTCTTTAATAACTATGAAAATGCAAATGCACTGTTAATTATTTACTATGAGTAAATATTCACCCCCCTCCTCTCCTGAAAGTGTATGAACTTATATTAAAACATAGTACTGAAACACCTGTAGTTTTCCTGCAGAGATCACCCTGTAACTGGCTTGCCACTACTTCTGGCCTCATCACTCTTTACCAAAAGCAGACTTTACAAAAAAAAAGTTTTTTAAAAAAGTCTTCTGGCAAGGGGCGAAGAAAGATTTAGTGGCTGACAAGCAACCCTGTTAGCTGCACATTCATATCATGCTAACTGTCAATTAACAGATACATTCTAAATCAGCTGTAGAGAAGAGGTATGAATGTTTTAGCTTTTTAAAAAAATAATCAGGCACATAAAGATGAATCCTAAAGCCATGTTTTAGCAACAAACTAAAAGATCTGATTTTCAGAAGTATTCTATACCCAGCAATTCCTATTGACTTCAAATGAGAGCAGTGAGCATGTAGCCTTTTGAAAAGTCAGGTCAGCTACTAAGATGCTTGAAAATAGGCTTCAGCAATTAAAGAGAACTATTTTAAAATTACGGCTGTGTTCAGATAGCTGTAGTCTAACTTTACCAGGAGCGCTACATTTATTTCCGTCTATCATGTTTCTAGAAAAAAATTTGCAACTGTCAGAGGGGAAGAGAGAAAAAAAAATCTTTCTAAAAGAGCAATTAAAGTGAGAAAACCATACAAAATTTGGCTTGGAAATGGTGTGGTTAAAAGAATACAGAAAACAGGCATGACCACAGTCTGCAAATATCTGAAGGATGTGAAAGTCAGAGGAGTGAAAATACGTGGTATCATACATGAGGGATTAATTAGGAGTAATTGGAGGAACCTAAGGAAAGAAAAAATGTTGTCTGTGTCAAGAAAAACTTACTGATCACAGTCACCCCTAACATTTTTGCAATTTTGCCAGGGTAACTAGAAGCTGCTTGGACAATATCATTGCAGGAAATACTTTGGGAACTCAGGGTTAAAGGGTACTTTAAGAATCTGAAGAGCAACCATTAAGCCAAAAATTAGAACTCTCTCTGGATATGAGATGGAGACATTGTTCAGGTGTTTCTCAAAGTAGCCTAACGCCTGAATCACCCTGGAGGGGAAAAGATTAGACAAGAGAGCAAGTCTGTTCCATCTCACACCTGTGACTCCAAGCACGACATATCCAGAGCTCTCAATTTCAAAAAGAAGCCTTGACAATGATACGTAGAAGTAACTGTCAAATCCCACAGATGTATTATAGAGCATGCTTAGGGAAGGTAATAACTATTAAAGCTCCCAGAGTATCCACTTGTATGATGCTTCTTTATTTTACATTCCTTCTTCCTGTCCTATAACATTATCACATGCCTCCTCTCCCCATTCCCAAATGGCACTCACTTAGCGCACTAGTGTGGCAGCAATAAGGCCTCAGATAAATATATCCAAAATCCACTGACACATCTATCAGCTATCTCATGAAAGGCTGACATATTTCTAGTGAGTGTGTTAATATATTTTATATGCCAACCAGACCAAAACATAGAATCGTCTATACAATTGCTTCCAAGTTTGTTGATACAGCATGGAAACAAGTGTTCACATAGCTTTAGGGAAGAAAACTTAAGCTGATGGAGATTTTTAAGCCATTCATTTTCTTCTAAATAAGGGACAATGATTTGAAAAGTCGGGGCGGGGGGGGCAGGGAGGGTGAGAAGAGAGGCTTCTATGGCAGACTGTTCTCTTTTTCCAGAAAGAGAATTTTACATTTGCTATACTCACTTTCTCCACATAGATACAAATGAGTGTACAGACACACATGCTGTCCTTTCTCCTCCTGATGCATTGAACATAGGTGCTTTCCAGTAGAGTGGGCAGCCACATATCTGTAATGAAACACCACAACGAAGAGGAATACAAAAGCAGTCACAAGAAGAGCCTGCTTGTTTACACATAGAATTCACCATCAAGACTTTTACATAAGGGAAATAAAGTGGTAATGACACACAGGTTAGTCAAAAAGCTATTTACTGTATGCCAAGGTTCAGAATCCAACAATAACTTTCTACTTTGTCATATGCCTTTTTAAATAGCTGAGAAATACGTCCTGTCAGGCTAGGAAAAGGATCAGAGACTATCAAGCTCTTAAGCTCTGTCTTTGACTGAGCTGTTCAGCAAGATTCCCAGCAAAGTGAAGTGGAGAGAGACAAGCACCTCCTTCTAGAAGGTCACTCAAACCAGCTGCCTCACTGACCTACCTTAGAAAAGTATGACCCATTCTCTACATGGACTGACGACTTCTCATTGACAGCAAGGGAATTTCAGTTCTAATTATAGACAATTAATGATTAAATGCCTGAAGGTAAAACAATTCCCATCCTGTAGTTTTCAGTGCAGTGCCTTCCACCCAGAACAGTCCATTTTCCCCAACACTGCTAGATCATGGCAGGATAGCAAAAAATGAAAAGCACAAATGGAAAGGGGACGATTCCAGCAAAAGGACTCCCTGAACACAACTTTTTAACTAGCCTCTGCAGAGGCTGCTAGCTTTCAGAATGGTAGTCAATGAAAGCTCAAGCATTTTATACACTCATGCCTCAGAAACACTCATGTACACACTAATGCCTCAGAAAAGCAGGCTTGAAAATGGCTTTAAACATTCAGCTGCTGACACCTTCAAGAAACCTCCCCTTTACCGCAGAGATCTTTCCAGCCACCTTCATGACTCCAGCCAAGGTATCAGAACTTGGGCAAAACACAGGCCTTGGAGGGAGTGCAGCTGATTCAGGCCAGGCACAGGTAAGAACGATATCATACCAAATGGAAGGAGGAATATTTTGAAGGTATCACTTCTGCTTTCCCCACAAAGCCTCTTTTACCTCTTCTATTAAGCAAGACTATCCTGCAAGGCCATTCTGAACTTTTTGTCTGGGCCTGCATGTTTCTTTGGGAACCCCAATCAGCATAAGAACTGCTTTTGGATTTAGCCATCCCTGCGTCAGGCAACTGTATTTCTACAGGTGTTTAGCTACTCTGAGGAAAGAATGACATTTACTTTTTGCTGCTTTCTTTGTGTAGCTAGTTCTCTCACATTTATTTCAGAGCCGCAAAACTGGTACCATTATCAATAATCCTATGGAACAGAAGCAAGCCTTACAACAGCTAAATGGCACGGAGCAAATCCATGTAGAAACAGATGCAGAGACCAGACAGAAAGGCAGAGGTCTCTTCTACACCACCCTTCTGCTTTTCCCAGTTTGAACATGACAGGCCACACACAGTTGTCTGTCTTGTCATAAAATCAGTTTCAAACCTTTTTTTGGCCAAGCAAAGAAGTTTTTCTGTTTATGTTTTCAGAGACAGTTTACAAGTAACACCACTCAATTCCTCTAAAAGCAAACAAACAAAAAACCAACCTAGTCTCTCCTTTCAGAAAAATCTTCCTTCTTGGAAAACAAGTGCTCCTCTTGGACAGAACATCATTGCTCAATCTACAGTGCCAAAGATGCATTCAGGGCAAACTGAACATATGAGATGTGTCTGACAACTGCTAGTTTTAGATCAGCATTACTGAAAACCATGGTTGAAGGAGAGGAAAATAGAACCACCCATCTGCATCGTGCTCCCACACAAGTGCTGTGTTTAGTTCCCTGAAGCCAGGAACTCATTAGCAGACTGTAACAACTCCAAGTCTGCTGACACCTGCATTATGGATATTGAACATATGCATCTCAGTGGCTGAGGGTTGACTAAGCATTTCCCTGTTCTGTGTCCAAGGAGGCGTAGGTTGGAAACTGCATTCCAAGCAACACTGCAACAGTATACATAGATCACGTCCAGATTAGTGGGACAGCTAACCACAAAGAAGGTAGCTGGCACTACCTGAAGCCAGAGAGGCAGACTAAGCTTCTGCTATCTTCTGAGCATAACTATGGACGAACAGAAAAACAAAAATGCAATTTGTATCTGGTAAGAAATCTGAAAGAACCATTTGCAAATCAAAGCAAGAAAGAGCACACACATCAGATGTGACGAATAGCAAACCGAACTCATTTTTGTTTACTATTTTCTTAAATCTAAATAAAAACATTCAGAGCAAGAGGATATTAGTTCTTTTTTCACTATAAGTGAGAACAGCTGTGAGATACCTTATTATTTTTAGATTCAGTCTTTCTCTCCAAAAAATTAAAAAACCTAGAGAATAGTTACCTTAGCAATTTTCCCCATTTCACAGATGTTTGCTTTCTCATCTTCAAACTCTGTAAAGGCTTCTTCAATCCTGGCAATGATTTCTTCATGATTAGTGCAGACATTCGGAAGTCCTTTAGGGAAGTAGAAACGTGGAATGTTTATCGACAAAGGGGTACTGCTGGTGGCTTTATTCACAGGCAGAAGAGTGCAAGGGCTAACCACGGAGTTCAAAGGGACTGGGGATGAAGTTCCAGGTTTCTTCTCTTGTTTACTTTGAACCTGAAAATATATCGAATAACAACAAATGCTCTTTTAACAGCACGGCATAATGAGCAAGAGAAAATAGTTTGCACTCCCAATGAGCCGGAAAAAAATTAAAAACACCAACAATAACATATATAACAACTATAGAACAGGGATAAAAATGCATGTCTTAAGTAGCCAATTAAAAAAATTCTGCAATATCAGACATTGCAAATGTAGGATACGTCCCATCCTGCTTTTATGTAGTTTCTTTGCATTTTACGTATGTAGCTGTGGATTATGACATACTATTGAACCACAAGAGAACACACTGCAATTCAGCAATACCACAGAACAAGGACAATGCTATTTCTTCTCATGCTGGTCACTGTGTTGTCATTCTGCCCCACAGACAGCAAAGCATCAAAATCTGGTCTTCTGTATTTCCCCTTACAACTACAACACCCACCCACACAAACGTCTTGCCTCATGTATGAACAAACTTACATTCCTAACATCAACATTTTCTATCCCTTGGGAACAACATAATTAGTTTTGCCAAAGTATCGCTTCACAGATAAACTAAGAAAAGATTTGCAAGACTATCTTCTGAATTTCAGGAAGCCTTTTATTCTATGCCCAACTTGAGCAGTGCAAGACCTGATTTTGTCTGAGGTACTGCGTACTGGCAAAACAATTTTTACACTAGGAATTATGAGCAGCCAGCAGTTTGTCATTGGGTACCCACATGATACAGCATGCTGGGTTAGCGCAAAATGCAAAAGGTCTGTTTACAACTCCAGTTGGAAGAGTCCTTTTGCAGGCAAAGCACCCAAAGGTTTCACTGAATCAGCACCTACATCTTTTGCTGAAAAACAAGGAGAAAACTGGGAATTTAAACTAAGCCTTCTGCATGCCTGTTTGAAGGTGGTCTTTTCTCCCGTGCCTGCCACCTCTTTTTTCATTAGCTCTACCACCCTATCACTCCTCTCCTGTCTGTAATAAACATATAGCTGATATGGTGATCCCCACTAGATCACCTTTCTAACAGACCTCTGCAATCTTCTAGTTCTAGCTCTACATCAATACTTTTCATAAAAGTCAGCATTTGTATTTAAGTACATAATGAGATCCTAAAATAGGTAATTTTTCAGACATGGGAGGGAATATTTTTTAAACTTTGAAAAGTAGTTACAGTATAAGCAGCAGAATTCAGTTGTTGGAATGCTGAGGGATGACAAATTCCCTACTCCCCCATGAACATACACTTCCTTGTGAAAAGGCGATAGAGGCTTGCCTATTGCACAATGGTTCGAATGCAAGAGTTGTTATTAATATAACAACATATGTGATAAGAGGCTAATAAGGCAATAGTCAAGTAAATACAGCTGCAACTTTCAGTTTGCTTATTCTAACTATTCCAATATTCCAAAACAAAATGGGTTTAGGATAAAGTAGCCAAGTCTGAGTTCACTACATACAGAAGAATGTATCTGATGAACTGACTGAACTCTTTGCCTTATTATTTTCCAGAAACTTAGGGCTTTTTTCTTAACACATACTGAATACCCCAACTTGCCATTGGCTTGCTCTCCAGAAGGTGAAGAAGTGAGAATTGTAAAAGCTTCCTTCAGCCCTGTTTTGTCTGCATTTTAGAATACTTTATAACCCATTCTTCAGAGACCTGTAAAATGAGAGAAGGAAGGACTTTCCTCCTCTTCACTGCTCTTCTTTAAATGGGGAGGACCTCCTCCTTCTTCCAAATGCTGTCCCATTTCAGAAGCAGGAATACACGTGCTTGCACATACATGCCAGCCCAAGCATACTTTTGTACTGTAACTGCTCTGCACAGAACACACAAATGAACCCAAGCTCCAGGTCAAAGTCCTCCTCTCCCACATCTTGCAACACAGGAACAACTGAAAATCACTTTCAGCCTTCAGGTTTTCCGAGTGTATCAATACTAGTATTCAGAGTCAGTATGGTCCTCAACATAGCTCTCAACCTTTGGAGAACAAGCCCGATTACCACCATCTGTTCTTCCTCCCTTCCTTGACTTTTCCTGCTCTCCCACATACTGCACATCTTTGTGTCTGATCCTGAATGATGTTGGAGCTCAAAGTAGGCCAGGAAAGAGGGTCAAAGGGTCTGAGGCTCAAAATGTTACTGGGGCTGAAGGGGGCTATGGGACAGAGTAAGCTTCAACCCACGTTACTCTGTCCCACAGTATGACACTGCAGGTAGGGGACCTGAAATGGCGGCAGGGGCTAAGCTGGGGGGAAAGTTGGTTACTCACTTTAGGAGCGACAGCTCACTGGGTTAATAGAAGACAACGCTTCTCCCGGCCTCCTTTTTCTCTTTACTCAGTAGAGTAACAAAAGCAAAACCCAGACAGGCTGAATATGTCTGGGAAGCAAGCACAGAGCAGCCACTGCTGCATGTTAGAGGTAGATGAAGATCCACCCCCCTCCCATGGCTGCCAGCTTCAGCAAGTGAGGCTAAGCAAGATGGGGGAATAGAGCTCCCTGAGACAGGCCTTCTCAAGAAGCCTCCAACTGATTGGGAAATAGCGGGTTAGTGAATCGTGCATAAGTCAAGCTAGTAATTTGGCTTGGAGGACTCCTCGCACACATCACCACTTCTGCTTCTACAACCTGCCTCCCACTGTATCTGCCCTGCCTAGCTCATGACTTTTCCAGCCACGACCCAACTCTGCTCAGTAGTTTTCACTTTCTGGATTCCAGCAGAGGGAAAAATCCCTGCTGGTCTCTCACAACACCATATTCATACAAACAACGCAAAGCTGGAACAGACAATGAGGTGCCAATTCCAGCCATTTGACTTCTATAATAGGACTTAACATCAGTTTGTCTTGAAGATCCACTTCTCGGAAGCAGGTTTATTGCTCATTAATCTCTTCAATGCACACATACACTCATAGCTGTCAGGACTGTGAGGAACTAGAAGAAATGACTCAAATTTAACAAAAAGGTCCACAAACCAAAATGAAGCAAACCAACATATTGTTGTCTCAAAGGACACTGACTCTTCACTTTAATAATATATTCCTTCCCTTACAGTACAAGAGAATGATAAAATTGGATTTTTTCTTTTTCTTGGAAGGCAAAGAGGCATCCCCAAAGTAGATCACCACAACGGCTCTGTGCCATTTTCCTCCTCTTCTGCATACCACATACATCCCAATATGGCATAAGGCTCGAGCTGATCATCCTGTAACACAACTCATCTGCTTTGCCCTGGCCTCTACCCTCTGAAAAGCAGAGCAACTCATTTTCCTCCAGGTACTGCCAGAGGCAGCAACACTTGGTACCACATCAGCCACAAGTCAGGACCCCAGAATCTACGTTAATTTCCTGATCTACAACCACAAGCCAGAAGGTTAGGCATCTACAGGAGAAATATGGGGAATGCTGCTAAGCTTCAAAGTGGGGACCCACTTCAGACATAGATTTGCAGCTGTCCTTCCCAGTAAGACTGAATCACTAACTCCTTCTCAGTCCAAGGCAAACAAGGTGGAAGTATTGCTCATGGATGGCTTCTTTTCAGAAGATTCTTCTTCAGGAATAGAAATACAATTTTTGAACTTTGTCTTCTTCCTTCTACTGTAAGAAATGAGCTGTCTACAACAACACAAAGAGAAAACAACAAGCAGCAACTGGCTCTTGAGGATCCTGTTCCCTAGAACAATCTTGTGAGTTAATACTCTGGGATGGGTATAACCAGGTATCAACCACTATGGAGACAGCAGGGAGTCAGTTACAACTATTTATGAAAAAATAAATTTATATGAGGGGAAATTCTGAGGGAATTCCTTGGAGAAAACATTTTCTTATTGCAAAAAGTTAACCTTAAATGCTGTTTGCTTAGTGGAACACATTTCTCCAACAGGGACATGCATTTTCAGAAAGGACAACTAAGAAAAGAAACTACAAATACTATAATAAATCTTTTAGCTTTGTTACCAATAGCTAAGAGACCAACCTTTTTTTTTTTTTCTTTTTTTTTTTTTTTTTCCAAAAAAGGGAGTGTTTTGACATTTACCAGCTCAGATGCTACTCGGTTGCACATCAAGGAAAGCAAAGTTAAGAAAAATGGTCACTACTGCCAAAAACGCATGCTCCCCAGAAAGATCTGGTCTACACAAAGGCAAAAAGATCACCAAAATGTATAAAGGTGCTTTTTAAATTAAGTGGTTGACAAAAGCAGGTTTCACTAACAAAACAAAATCCCTGCTTCAGCTCACCTGTGAATTAGTACTACAAAAGAGACAAATCAGAATTTATAAAACATGAATCTCTACTAAAGAGAAAAGTCATTGTAGCTAATTTGGAAAGAAATGTGCACGTTTCTAGTTTAGATTATATCTTAGTTACGGTATAGGACACCTAAATAATTTAGCCTTTTTACCAAAAACCAAAAAAACCAACCTTTTTTTTTTTTTTTTTTTTTTTTTTTTTTGCTAAAGAAGGTGAGATTTAAGCCCATTTTTAAAAACTGCTCTACAGTGTAGTGTAATTTATCTTAACTAAAATCTGTCTATCCACTACATCACCTTTTGCCAGTCATACAATTTATTTATGGACAGACTAAAATAGTGACATCTGCATTATAAATAAACCAGACAGAACTACAGTCTCACTGTAGCTATACAAACAAAGCATAGAGACTAAACCTCTGCCATCCAGGCCTGTCTCTCAGGGACTTGCCAGTCCCAGCAGAAAACTCCACGGAAGGAAGCAGTATCACGTCAAATGCTCAAATACTTTCTACTCCTTCGTCCTGGCCCCAGTCTCCATCAGGAGCCTAGTTAATAAATTTACCAGTTTCTTGTTTTTTTCCAAATGAGATTCTGTAATCTTCTTTTCTAGGGTACAGTGACTCAGCCTGGTTTCTCGCAGTCCACAGTGCTGACTTAATGTCTCCTTCCATTTTTTACAGTTTCTGTCTTACTGAAGTCTGATGGTAACTGGACACAAGCCATCCTCAAAGATCATCAGCTCTCCAGAGCTGATTTG